AGGATCTTGACGTTGTGCAACTCGTAGATCTGACCAGCGCCCATGGGGTTGTCGCGTAGGGTTCGCATGGCCCAGCCGAGGGGGCCACGCTTCTTCATCAGGCGAGCGTTGAATCGGGCCTCACCCTCGGCAACGAGCTCCTTGTAAGACTTTTGGGTGGCTTCGAGATTGGCAAGGCTCTTCTCGTTGGCCCCCTCGGTGGCGTCAGATGTAGACATGATGCCATGCTCCTTGCCAGGTCCATCCTCGGCCGTCAACTTGGGAGAGTGCGTAACAGACTCGTCAAGGTCGTCATCATCATGCTGGACAACGGCATAGTTCGGGACATTAGCGCGTTCGGCATCCTCAGGCGCAGGGCGCTTAAAGAGCAGAGGACCATAAATGAAATGCCACCACTGAATATTTGGGTCCTTCTTGATGACCTTGGCATGGACAAAGGGTACGAAAAAGATGGCGGCGAGAATAGCCACGCCACCACCAGTGCCCATAGTTACCGCAGCAATATACCAGGCGGGTTTCTTGCCAAGTCCCAAATTAGGTGAGCCCTTGTAAACAATAGATAGGGTGCAGATGGTGGCGGCAATAAGGAAGAAGAAAGGAGAGGTGTAAACAGCCCAGGGGACGGGGTTTTTGCGCATATGGACAACCAACTTGACGAGCATGAAGATTGTAGCAGCAAAACCGCCAGAGATAACCGGGGCCATACCTAGACCAGCAAAGATGGCGCCGAGACCTTTTCCGTCGTTCCAACCCCATTGAACCTTGGAGGCACCAACAGTAGCAACACCAACACCAGCAACGGCGGAGATTAAGGAGTAGGTGGAGGAGACGTGAGCAGAGTGACGCGTGCACCACATGACCCAAGACGAAGCGGCGGCAAGAGCGCAAGTAAAGGCAAGCATCTGAACACCAGCATTATTCTGGAAGGCGGAGTTAGGAATAATGCCGTTCTTGATTGTTTCAGCAGTACGGGCGCCGACGGTGATGGCGCCAAGCATTTCGAAGACGGTACCAAAGATCATGGCCTGTCTATAGGAGATGGATCTAGAGGAAACACTGGTGGCCCAAGAGTTGGCCACATCATCTGCCAAGAGATATGGTTAGCTGGACGGGATCCCTACAGATGAAGAAGCCATCGCCAAGACGGCAAGAGAGTAGCGTGTATCTGCTGTTGGTCTGGGCGGGCTTGGCTTTTCTTTTTGTTTCACGGAGTACTCACTTGCACCATTGTTGAAGGCATCGAGTAGGGCAAAGAAGGTGCCAATGGCAAAGACGTAGTCGTACTGGTGAAGAGTCATCTTGGAGAGACGCCAGGAGAATCCTCTCGCGCCGTCCTGGATAATTCAACGAAATTGGATCTGTGCAGACTCAAAGGCTTCCAAGACAGACCAGCACGGGCATACTGGCCTTTTATGCCATCCGACTGACCACATTGAATGAGAAAAATCGGCAGGGTTCTCCGTCGTGGCGGCCAGGCTGACCATGCTTTTATGTCATTTCGTCTCCAGCTGGCGCACCCCGGCTTGCTGGCCGAAGCGTGAATGCGGACTGAACAACACCCAAACACCACAGGGCATACGATTAGGACCAGCCAACATTCATTCAGGCATGACAGTCCCCTCCTGTTAAGGTTGTTGTGTGGCGTGTAAGCTTATCAATAACAGTGACAGGGGTTGAACATTGATGCAGGGTGGCACCCCAAACAGAAACCATTGTTGTACATAACTTCCTATCAGATTCCCCAGACCTTACACGTGCGAGGAAGCCAACTTCACAGCGGAATCTTCCCCTGTTAGGTAGGTCGAGTATACAGGGGGCGAGACGCCACACGGGCCATTCCACGTCCAATAGCTGCACGCTTCCGGTGATCTAGCCAGAGGAGGAGACCGAACAGTGGGGGCCACCCTCGTGGGGAGCAAGACAGCCATCGACGAAAAAGTGCAGGGAAAGGTGGTCAAGTTGGTACACGTGCGAACCTGCCCAAAGCGGGTCTAGACTGATATGTTGCAGTTTTGACGTGATGTTTCGGCCAGCTCCTTCAAGTGGCCATGATACTTGGACAGAATGGCTCACGCACAGATAACAGAAAACGGAACTTGGTGCCTGCGCCAAGACCACTCGAGGCCAAGTCTCGGCTGAGAGCAGATGTGTCTCGGTGTTGCATCGTACAAAAGGACCGTTGAGCACACAAATGTGGCTTCAGATCTGATGTGTTGGCGTTACGAGAAGAAAGACTGATTCAAGTCAGCAAGCAATAGAATGACATCTGGTTTGTGATGCTTGCGCTCATCGCAGAAACCCAATATAACCGATCACAGTAGGGCGTTGAAAGGTTCATTTGTGGATTAGTGGATGCAGGGCAAGCGGTCCAGGTAATCAGACTATTGACAAGTGGCAAGGGTGACATCCTGCTGAAGGGTTCAGTTTATTCATGGTAATGGGATTCTCCTAGTGGTTGACGAACATAAAAGAATAAAAGGAAGTATTGTAGAAGGTTAGTGTCGAAATGTCCAACCACGGCTTTCCACGTGGGGTAGTTGTGTCGCTGGGGATCACCGCGAGTTTGCCCGGGGAGGGCAGGGTGCAACCACGTTGTCTAGCTTGAATTTCAACTGGAACAAAACTGGAGCAGGATTGTCAGAAGATGGGCCGAAAGCCGGGGTAGAGGTTGAGAAGGTAAACTAACATTAATTTCAAGCATGACTCTTTTCTCCTCCACAGCTCCATCAAGAACATATTTGGAAACGAGGGTCCTAGCAATGCAAGATCGGTTCCCATCGAGCCTCACACATGGAGGAGTGGGAAAACGTGCCTTCAGCTTCAGGCAAAAAAAAAAAAGGTACAGACGGCTATGCATGTCCCAGAGAAGGAGGTTCCCATGCAGCAGGTGTTGAGGTATGAACGAGAAGCTTTCGACGAGTGGCGAGTCGATTTAATGAAATGAAAAAGATGATTCTTTTTTTCGGACGAGATCATCTTTGAATGCAAATTGCAAGATGTAGATACATTGTGACGGCGGATATGGCTGGCGAATATGAGCCTTGCAACAGAGAGGATAGAGAGAAAGGGGAGGCGACAGACGAGGCAGATACGACCAGCACGCACTCTGTGCATCCCCGACGCGCGTTGCTCCTTCCGCGGTGGCGTCAGTTTCAAGAGAAAAGGCAAATGGGCCTATATCTACACCGAAATTGCCACGACGTTGGCAATCTACATCTGTCAAGTCGGAATTTCGGATCCCAGACGGCCTAATCTCTTGATTTCTCTCCCTTCCACAGCCTTGCAGTGCTTGACAACTTGGCGATGCTGATGGCCTAAATATAGCACCTGCCTCCAATGCGACTCTGGTGCTCTGTGCAGATTGGAGCCTGGCAGTTTGGCAGCTGTGGGGCTCGTCACTGTTTGTACTCGGTAACCCGCCAACTGCGCCAGCTGTCCATCAACGTGACGCTAGTCTCTCCTAGTGTCCTTGGCGGATGTTTAATAAACGCGCGCTTGCATCTGGCCAATCCTGTGCCCGCATTCTGCAAACACTCGCCACTTCTCCTTCACGCTCAACTATCCAACATGCACATCCCGCAGCCGACATTACTACACGGCTACATCAAAGACGCCGTATGTTCCTTTCCATAGAGAACAGAGCCAACATCGACTGGCCCACACTGGAGCTGCTCATCTCTCTTCCTAGTCGCCGAGTTCGTCGCCTGGCTTTCTTCACCAACGTGTTGGCCCATCGTCGACAGCTTTAAGCGCCTTTTACATACGAGCTATGACATAAGCCTCTATCATGAACCTTGTTTCTTCATCCCCTTTCTTTCCATCTATGTAATTTACAGCGATCAGCTAAGCTCGCCTTGGCCGAGGTATGCAGCCTTCCCTAGAAGGGGCGTCGAAATGATGCAATGGCCGCTCCTCCAATTTCCAGGCGCCCAGCTCGCGATGCTATTTTGGAGAACCTTTTTTAGGTGCTCTCTGCACTCGAAGAAGAAAAGAAAATTGCCGACTTTGGCTGATCTGGTGTCCCCAGCCCACCTGGAAACCGACTATCATGGTGTATTCTTCACCATGTTCTTCGGTAGCCGCCTTTATATTCCCACCGCCCAGGGGAATACATTGCCTTGTCCTGCGTGCCATCTACTCTGGCCGCGTGTCGAAGTTCCTCCACGACATGCCAGGCGTCCCCCATCTTTCTCGAACAGTTCAAGAGCCACAGTTCTTGGCCTGGGGTCCTAAACGCCACCTCCTCGATTCCGTAGCCGCCAGCCCGCCTCGAAACTTCCCTTTCGGCCAATACTATCGACCCATTTCTGAAAAAGTCGACTCTTTAGACACAGAAAACTCGTTTCACTTCCATTTCCGTCTTGTGGGTTTTGTTTCATCTCTAGAGCCGCTCATGGTGGCATTGGCCTTTATCTTTTCCCCGGCAGGGTCATAAGGCTTGTTGTCGTCTCAAGATCTTAAAGCTGCTTCATGTCCCGTCGTTGAGGCCAGGCCAATTTGTTTCGTTTCTTCATCCAAGTTCATCAGCCTTCTTTGCACAGCTCTCTTGTCTCCCTTGGCATTTTTATTTCTCTTTTTGCTTGATTTGGTCTCCATCCCTCCACCCTTCGACCCTCTTTCGCTCGACAGCAGGTCTTCATTGGGCTCTCTCTTCCGGCAAGTCTCTCGCTCATCAACCATCTCGGCTCACTTCTCTTTACGCCCTTTTTTATAGAGAGCTGTGTCCTGTGCTGCAGGGAAGCACATGTGCAACTATACAACTTCCTCACTGCCTTGCCTTAATCGATAGTGTCAACATCGAATCGACTGTTGACCATCACTCACAGAGCTGGCCTCTTTGGACTACCTGGCAGCCCGTCTTGAATTGAATTGACACGCTCTTTTCCCTTTTTTGGTTCATCTCCATACACTATTCAAATCCTTAGACAGACGTCATAATGCCTAAACATCATCGAAATGCAAGTGGATCTCACCACTATGCAAATCAACTCTCGGCCGCCATGGTCACCACTCCCATGTACGCACAGCAGCCCCCGCGCGTTCAAGTCCCCGCCAACTATTACACCATTCCGCCCGGTCCAGACTCAACCCCGATGCAGATGCCAGCGTCTCAGCAAGAGGCCTACGACGCCTACACGGCTGAAGCAAGTGCCCTTCCAACAACCCAGCACCGAGCCTCGTCTGGAGCTTGGAGCGCGATTGACGACAACAGACTCGTCCAAGCCAGGGCACAAGGTCTGAACTGGGGGCAAATCAAGGACGCACATTTCCCTACCAAGAGTGCCAATGCATGTCGCAAGCGCCATGAGCGTCTAATGGAGCGCAAAGGCGCAGATGACTGGGATACGCGAAAGTTCCAGCAGCTGGCGAAAGAATACATGGGCATGCGAAAGGAGATCTGGAGCGGGCTAGCTGCTCGAACGGGTGAAAAATGGAACGTGGTCGAATCCAAGGTAAGGCCCCAACATTTGCTTAAATCCCATGGTGTAAATATATATACACACATGTATCCACCACATGCTCGGAGCGGGAATCCGTCCCTCCGTTGACCACGATACCCTTAACTTGCGCGCTAACTTATGTCCCTCCTCTCTACTTTTCTCGCCATGTAGTGCATGTCCAATGGCTTGAAGAATCTACAAGCCGCTGCCCGGCAGGCTTCGCGCCGCGAACGCCTTGAGACTGGCTCTCACATCACAGGGTATGACGACGACAGCGGCATTTCCGGCATCGGCCTGACTCCTGTTGATGAACTAGACGCATCCTACAGCAGTCCTGAGACGAGCTCCTCGATCGGCGCGACACACTCCTTCTCCTCCAACTCGGCGACCGCCTACCACCTCCAGGGCCACGGGGCGACGCACACGCATCTACACCCCGTCAGCGGCGGAGGCGACCAGAGCTCCTATGGCCTCGGCGCATACGGCGCCTCCTACGGCGGCCACCAGGAGTACTCGTCCAGCGCGGGCTCTTCGGCGAGCATGGGGCACAGGTACGCCTCCAGAGGAAGCAGTCCTTACATGGACACGCAACGACTATCCACCGCCGACATGGGCATCGACAGCTTGATCAACCGGTCCGCCGGTCGGTAGAGCACAGCCGCAGCCACCTTCTCACTCTCTTCACTTCAGTTCACCATGGGCACACTGCTAGCCATGCCTGCCGCTTTCGTGCAACGTGCTAGCGTATCTTTCACCTGTGTCTTTTTCTTTCTTTCCTTATAATTTGTTTAACTCTCCTTAAAAAACATGCTATTTTCATCGATTTCAACTTTCCTTCGCCCATTACGGGGTAGAATACGACGACGAACGACCAAAGGAGGCGTTATTGGATATATTGTGCTCACTCATGGAGCTCTCTGCTGTGGTGGGGGGGTTATGAATGACGAGCGTCTTACGTTTCCATTGTTTGTAGAGTAGCGCAATCTTGCAATCTGAGTCCCCGTGCAGTGGTGGCAAAGAAGTGGTTTACTTTAGTTCGCTGTGTATGTTGAGGGGGGGACAAGTCTTGGTCAGTGTATACTTAACGATAGATTTCGGTCTTTTCTTTGTTTCAGGATTTCCTTGCCGCAAAGGCTGCCTGTAAATTGATTGATTTGCCGTTCTCACGTTGAGGCCTGTGCGTATGGCTCTGGAGGAATTCATCTGGCACACAGACAACACCGAAATCGTCCGATGGCCTTTGTCCACAAAGATACGTACTAGCTTCGAAATTTAAGCTAACTGTCGAAATTTCAGGGACTTGTAGACTGGTTTCAGGGTAGCTCTTTTAGGGCCGCGGCTTGTGATAATATGGCGAAGCTGCTTGACCACTCCATAAAACAAGCAAAGGGGAAGGCTCTATGTTGGCACTTTCACTTTGTTGCGCGCATGGCTACGTTGATATACACAGAGAGCGAATCGATCAACACATTTATATAAGCCTGTGGCAGAATACATTTGCCCACCAAGAAGTATACACCATTATACAGTGATGTATTATAGTATAGAGCACGATAGGCAGGTATCCCATATGGTTAAATACCTTTTGCCTCCCACTGTAGTTCGTAGTTCCAACTAAAGCCTGTAGACACCGCCGACGCCCGGCGCTAGAGGTCGTATCCCACAAGGGTACCCAGCAAATCGGTCGAGATTCTCCAGCAGGATCGTTCTCGCGTCACAGAAGACAAATGGGTTCAAGTATATCGAGATGCCTGTCGATCTTTTGCTCTCACGCCTATGAGAGTGGAGACGGAGCATTAGCAGAAACGATCGTGGAAATGGAGGAGCGGCATCACTCGAAGAGGCATACCATGTAAAGCATTGTTGCATGCACCAAGGTGCAAGGTATGGCAACGGGCCTTGCCCCAAAAAATGGAGGTTTGTGTGGGAGCGGACTCGGCAAAAAAGGTGAACGCCCGAGGGGACAGGACCTGAAGCTTTAACCTCATTTTGTCTGGTTCATCTTCTCCGCTTGGTGTCCTCGGCCCTGCCCATTGGGTTTACGTTCCCGGCTTTGCCTGCCGGGCTGGTGTTCTCTGTATTGCCCGCTGGGTTGGTGTCCCCAGCGTGTCCCCCGCCCTGCTCAACAAGAAGCCGTTGTGAACGTGGGTTGGCATCCACGGGTGTTGTTTTGACGTGATGGTCTGCCTGTTCAACACGGGGTAGACGCATGGAAAGAGGCAAGTGCGTTTTCAAATCACACGGCCGATTTCGCCAAATCGGCGATTACTGAGAGGCATCTGACAATAGTAGTAAGCCATGAAGCTTATAAGACATAATTTGCTTACTTTGTTGGTGTTGGTGGTGTTGGTGTTGGTGATGTCGGTGTTAGTGGTGATGATGGCGTTGGTGGCGGTGATGATTAAAGAAGAAAGGATGGAAGGGAAAAAAGAGAAGGAGAGAGAAGAAGAAAAAGACGGCATAGGAGCGAGGGTAGCCTTTTTCCCTGCCAGTTGGCTATATTTTACACGTCGCAGCGGCGGCAAGTGCAGTCTGATAAGAGAGGGTCACTTCTTTGAGAAGACGAGCGCTCCCAATACTAGTCTCTCGAGTAAGCACTTTGTGCTTTCAGGAATGACGGGATTCAGCCCACACCATGGCATCAAGTGGGCGGCATTATGTGATGGATATTCATGTAATTGGTCTGCACCTTTGTAAGTGCGACTCCCACTCAGAACCTGACCTGTTGGGGGCGCAATCACATTGGGGCTGCTTGTTGTGGACCGGAAGCTTATTCCAACTACATGCCATGTATCTCCATCAATAGACATAGCATAAGAATGAAGTATATTTCATAATCTCAACGTTTGCGAGCATCGGGACGGGGTTCTCGTGTGTGCAGCGGGATGAACTATTGACCTAGATCTCACGGTTTACTAATCGCTCCAAAAGACAGTCACAGAATCCTGTTGTAGCGAGTGTTCCTGTATATTCAGGTCGGCTTGAAACCCTGTATACTAGGGATAGTCAAGTTATATGCAACGCCCGGATGCGGAGAAGACGGGCTCTATGCGAGGGGCCGAGGAGGACAAATTTGGGTCTCGGATTGGGGAAATTATGTGGTAAAGACATCGGTCTTTTAAAAGAAGCAGAATAAATACAATGTTCGGATTTCTCATTCTTAACCGAGAACGGATGATGGACTAGGCAGTCAAGTATCCTCTGCTTGCATTTGCAATCCTTCACATGGTGGTTGCGTTTGACACTTGGGTGCTTTTGCCTCGCGGCAATTGTCCAGATGTCGGGCAACTTTGGCACTTCGACTGACGAGTCCACTGGACTAACAGAAGAGAATTTCCATGCGGTCATGGCACCCAGTTCCTTGCGAGTGAATTGTGACAGGCTCGGTCGCGACTTCCTCTATCGGGTTTCTATCGCTTCGTTTTCGGGATTGTCCTCCTCTTCGGCGTCTGCAATCTCCACAACCTGCCTTGTTCCTGCCGTATTCGAGAGATGGCTCTTGCATTGCCCGCAGTAGTCGCCACAATCGCGGTATACAATCGAACACGAAACCAGCGGGTCAATGGACGAAATACCGGAGTCTATTTACGCCAACGCCGTGCAAGCGCTTGCATGCAAGGTCCTTAGAAACGCCTGCTTACAAGTGTGCTTGTCATTTCCAAAATGGCGGTGAGGATGAGGCCTGCAACCTCTTCCCACGCCCCGCTGGACTGCGGGAGCGATGGCATTTACGGTGGGGTCCGGGATGGTGTTACGAACTTACGACCCAAGAGTTTCGTACAATGAGAGCCACCGCATACGTGTGCTGATCTTCTTATATTTCAAACGCAACGTCAATCGGGGGTATCGTGAGTATTTGACCCAAGTTACAGACTTTTGCAGCGGCCAGTACCGCGGGGTCAACCAGATGCGGAACATGGCTATAGGGTCGGCATGCAGGCCACTATATACAGTATGGAAACGTGTGTAGATCGACGGCATGTCGAAAATCTTGGAACTGGACGTAGCGGGGAACAAGGAAAAGATAAAAGGAAAGGGCCTTGTGACACCAGAATGCAGATTACTGACTGGGCTGATGCAGCATTCATGTTGGCCGACCCTACTTTTACGACAATTTTTCACAGGATGCAAAAACGAACGATTTGTAATTGTTTCAAATTCCATTGTAGCTAGTCGTAACCAAATTCAATGCCGCTAATGCAATTTTTGAATGCATTCGTCATGGACATGCCGGATCTCCTGATGTATTTCACAAACGAGACGAAGGATTTGACTTGGCTCCGCCGCAGCAATCCACCGATGACGAAAAGGCATTTCGGGAAGCTGTGTCGCTCTTGATTTGTGACGGCTGTACCCACAAAGCTGGATTCTTCTGGAAGAAATTGCTGGCACGGATCATGATGCCGACCGGTTCGGCAGGCATAATGGGGAAGTCCTCGCAGCGAGGGAAGTGAGTGAGTCCGAACTGCATGTAGCACACAATATCCGTGTTTTCGATCGGCTCATCTCGATTTGACCAGTCGAGGACCGTCTGGTTGTACGGGTGGTTCTCCTCGCCCGTAGACTGGCAGACGTAGTCGCCTGCAGGGAAGAGCTCGTAGTCCCTGTAGGGCACAACCCAGAGACTCTTGCGCGCAAAGGCGGCGCGTTTGTAGACCACACTGCCGGGCTTGGCAAGCAGCGGAGGGCAATTGTTGTTGATTATCTTGTAGCCAATAGGCTTCTTGCAAGACTCGTTGATCTTATTGGGGTTAATGATGTCCCAGGCACGCTGAGTTTCGTGACAGTAGTTCACGGCAGCCTCCTTGGCAGTTCGCAGTAACGTCTTTTTGCAGTAGAAGCCGTTGCCGTATGGGTTCTCGGGAGATCCAACTGGAGCATCGGAGGAGACAGCATCGCTCTGGAGAATAGAGTTGTTGGGTCCGTCGATTTCGGGGTCGACGCGCAGAGAGAAGATATGCTGGTGATTGTGCGCGTTGATGCCGGGCGCAACTTCTGTGCCGTAGGGAGCAGCAGTCTCAGAGCTGTGCATGCAATACGTGTTGAGCATACCAGTGAGCTTGATTTCCAGCTTGTACGTGCCGTCAAGCGTAAAGGTGTGATAGAAACCGTACTCGTAGTTGGCAGCCGTGATGATTTGTGAAATGATTAGCTGGCGATCGCGAGCCGAGATGACATTTCCATCGCGGAAATCGGTATGTTTGTAAAGCAAGCCTGAGTCAACTTCATGTATGCAAATGGCATTAGGTATGATACAAGGCTGTCCCTTGGAGGTAGAAACAACACCGTCGAGATAGTGGATAGCACCCTTGCAGTCACATCCAAGTTTCAGAGAGTTCGTCATCAAACCGGAGCCATATTCACCAACATCGAAAGCATGCTTCTTATGGTGAGGGGGGTCGGGGTTGCCGTACGGGACAACCATTTCAACAACACTAATACGATTGAAAAGAGTTCGCTCGCGGTTCTCATAGGGGTCGTGAATCCTAACGTCGGACAAGACAATCCCCTCTCTATAATTGAAGCCAATATGCATCTTGTAGTTGGCCCAATGGATCTCATTACCCTTCATCTGGAAAGAAACACCTTCAGGTTGAGTGATGTCAATAGGTTTGAGCTTATGAGGTTCATAGCCATCGCTGATAAACTCG